TAGACAACTAAATAATTTGAACTATAAAGGACTTTTGAAATCTTGTTACCTTTGATATTGAACAGTGACTCATATAACATTGTATTAAATGATCCCTGTGCAAAATGATGCAAATGTATAATCAGCATTCTAAACCAGGCCATTTTTCTCTTTGGTAGAGCACTTTGGGAGAGTGTTTAGCATAACATATCCTAGTATTTGTTCAGCTGCTAAGAAAAGATGGTTAGTTCTTATCGTTTTACTCAGAGCATTTTGAGTATTAAGTTATTCCCAGGAAAAGGTCCTGAACACTTTATGTTGGAAAGAGTATTGACTGACTGAATATTTACATCTTTACATAAAGCAGTGGTTCTCCAACTTTAGCATGCATTGGGGTCACCCAGGGGACTTGTCAAACATGACTGCTCGGCCCCATAGAGTTTCTGATTCAGTAGGTCTGAAGTAGGGCCAGAGAATTTGCCTTTCTGACAAGTTTCCAGGTAATGCTGATCCTCTGGTCTGGGGACCATGCTTCAGTTTTTTATTACTTTGAATATTCAAGCAAATATGTGAGCTTACCCTCCCCATCACCTGTTATGTTGAATGGTTTTCCTCAGAGGAAGGCTGGTGCATAGTTGGGGCTGTGTGCCATTCTTTGGTCATAGCTTGGGCACTGCTAGTAGCCTCCTCGTAAAACTCACCTTCTGCCTCTTGGGCAGCTATTGCTGAAGAATATTGATCATTGCATAACACCATAAAGAAAAAGATGTAAATTCTGTATAGCCTTAACTTCATCAGTCAGGTAGAAATTGGAACACATTTCACAAGTTGTATTGATGCCTTAGAGTGTTCGTTTTTGTACTATTTTGAACAATAGAAGTACAGAGTTTAAAAACTGTATTATGTTTTCCTAGTTATGCCTGAGCAGCTGGCCTCCTCTGCTCATAGGTAACAAGAAGAGTTAAGTCTCTGACTTTGTGGAGTAAAAAACTGTAGTCCCAACATGGAGCCACAAGAGGGTGGAATAAACGCAGTTGGCTCTCCCTTTGAGCTGGCATAGGCTGCCCCTTCTCTTACAGCTCCAGCTGAGTCTTTGATGCTTCCACACCTCATGATACGAGGGAGACTTCTGATCTTAACCCCTTGATTTATTCCAGATCAGCTCATTGCTGCTGCTAGATCAGAAATATCTGTTCATTTGGAGGCCAGATTCTGCTTGGAGAATCCTGTTAATTAATCCATATTAGCTACTTTGCAAATGGTTTTAGGCCCTAGGAAATAGTGTCTCGTGGATTAAAAATACTGTTAAATGATAGAAGCTTCAAAAAAGAAAAAATATTTTTTATTAATTTCATTTTACACATTAGTAGATTTCTTTGAGGTTAGCTTTGGTTCTTGTTATAGATTAAAGTTCAATATTAGGACCTTAGAAATAAATGCTTTGAACTTAGCCAAGGAGGGGCTGTCACATCTTGGGCTTCATGTTGCTCTGGAGTCCATCTGAGGAAGCTAGACTTTAGAGTCCATATTCAAAGGTGAGTGGGGACATGAACTCAACAGTTATATTTTTCTGTCAGTGCTTTTGTGTATCTAAGCCAAAAAAGGAGTGAAAAATCAAAACATGAAAGGTAAATTCAGAAGGTAAAGCAAAAAATAAGACTAGCAACTCACAGGATATAGCTGTTTAAGTTAGCTTTGTACTTCATATATAGTGGAACCTTCTTTATATTTCAGTTAGAACCCTGGCCTAATATTTCAACAAGTTGTGTTATTAAAAGAATTATGGAAGAATACAAGAAGGAGAAATTAAACCAATAAAAGCCTGGTAGTTCACTCAGTGGACATTACCATTAAAGAATATTGTTAATAGAGAGGGGTTTCTAAGTCGTGAGTGAGTTGGGATAAAACTGAAGGAGAACAGCTGGGACGTGCATAGTTTCCAGTAGGGAGACCATCTGAAGCACAACAAATGTTACAGAACCTTTCTTAACCTACTTTTTGATTTTAGAAGAATAAAAATTTACAGTGTGTTAATACAGGAACAACAAATCTCAAGATCTGTTTGTAGAAATCGATTAAAGTTTATATTGAGCACAGAAGTATTCTTGTTAGGTTGACTAGAAAAAGTTATACAAAAGAGGATAGGAACATTGAGATTCCTTCCTTTATTTGATGTTTTCAATCCTGAGAATTTTTGAGTTTTTGAGGATCACAGGGTAATCCTGGGGAGACAAGTTTTCCCTCCCTGCTTGGCAGCCAAATGGAAGGGCTTCCAGGATACTGTGCACTTTGTTCACTTCTTCCACCTCCCAGCTCGCTGGCTTCTTTGACTCTTTATTTATCCCAGCAAAGTGCCCTCACTCTCTTCTCTTTTTCTGCACTCACTTTTTGAATGATCCTGTCTTTAAATGGCTTTACCTAACAACTATACCCTGAAAAGTCCCCTATTAATATCTCCAACCGAGATCTCTTCCTCTTGGCTCCAGATTTGTAAATCAACTTGATTATCAACTTGGATGTCCAAAAGGTATCTCAGACTTAATGTATTCAGTCGCACTTTTGATTCCCCCCTCAATTCTAAGCCTAGTGATCTTCCATGTCAGGAAATTCCTTTGCCAACAATCTGGAATAATCTTCAACTCTTCTTTCTCTCACACTTTGCATCTAATACACCAGAGAATGCTTAGGCTCTTCCTTCACAATATCTCTAGAGAGTGACTGCTTCTTACCGTCTCCACTCCTCCTGTCAGTATATGAGAGTCCCTCTTTCGTCCACAGCCGTACCACCCAGAATGCACCCAGTCTCATCTGCTGTCCGAAGCTGAGCAGGGTCAGGCCTGGTTAGTGCTTAGGTGGGAGAATGTTTCCCTTTAGACTCAGCAACTCAAACTGAGAGATTTATGCTAAACTGACTGGTGAAAAATGGCTTTGGTGTGGTTTTAATTTACATTTCTCTGGTCGAGGTTGAATGTCTTTCAATATGTTTAAGAACTGCGTTGGCATTTCCCTCTTTCATGAACCACATGTTCATGTCATTTCCTCCTTTTTCTTCTTCTAGGGATGTTGGATATTTGTTAGTGATTTTGTAGGAGTTCTTTATATATTAGGAAGAGTAGCCCTTTTTGTGTAATGTGAGTTGCAAATATTCCCCCTCTTGCATTTTTTCCTGTTTTCTTGACTAATGAATCCCTGAGTCAAAGGATACAGTATTTAATTCGTTAATAGGTACAGCCAGATTGCCTTTCAGAAAGACTATATCAGTTTATATTCCCCCACATTTTATGTGCTTATTTCTCTCCATCCCTGCCTACTTGATTTTTAATTAATTAAACATTTTTTGTTGATCTGTAAATCACATTTTGTTAATTTTGTGTGTATGTGTGAGGAAGACTGGTCCTGAGCTAACATCTGTGCCAATCTTCCTCTATTTTACGTGGGACGCTGACACAGCATGGCCTGACGAGTGGTGCTAGGTGCACGCCCAGGATTGAACCCACAAACCCTGGGCTACCAAAGCAGAGCGCACAAACTTGACCACTATGCTGGCTGGTTGGACAGCCCTACGCTTTGTTAATTTTTATTTCCTAAATTCTTGTGAAGTTGAGTATAACTTTAAATGTATAATGGTGTATTTTTCAAAGATATCTATTCATATGCTTTATTTTAAAAATTATTTCTTAGTTCAGATCCATTGTTAGATATGCTGCAAATTTAACTTTTTAAAAATGTCTCTTACCATAAAGGTGTTTTTTAGTGTTAATCTCTTTCAATCTGTTGAATGAATCCTAAGGACTATTCCTTGGTAAATACTATATATAGTTGTTTTCCTTCACCAGTCTTGGAGTGATTTGGTTGTGTTTTGATACCTTTGTTGTATTTTGATCCTGTGATCTAGTACCCTTTATATATTTTTCTGCAAGCCTCATTGGAGTGTGGACAAGATATTGGTAGTTATATCATAAAGAGCCTCAACTTCATACGATACTAGAAGCCCTCTTTCATTCCTCCTGATTTTCTACATATCAAATTATACTGTCATTTTTTAATGGCATATAATCTGGAAATCATTTTCCTGGGTTTGGAGTACATTATTAACTTTAGGCAGCAGCTTATTTTCCTAATTATATAGATTGGTGTGTGAATATCTCCTCATGTTTTCATATGGATGCTAATTGAGCAGTGAGAAGGTATGAGTTGGGTGCATTGGACACAAAGGAGAAAGCTCTAGGATTAAAATTTGACCATGCCTCACAGAAAAACCTATACACAAATGTTTATATTATTATTATTCATAATAGTCAAAAAAGTGTAAACAACCCAATGTCCATCAACTGATGGGAATGGATGAACAAAGTGTGCTTTGTTCATGCAATGGAAAAATATTCAGCAATAAAAAGGAATCAAGTACTAATATGTGCTGCAACATGTGTGAACCTTGAAAACATTATGCTTAGTAAAAGAAGCCAGTCACAAAAGGCCACATAATTCCGTTTATATCAAGTGTCCAAAGTAGGCAAATCCCTAGAGACAGAAAGTAGATTGATTAGTGGTTGCAAGGGGCCGGGAGGATGGGAGAATGAGAAGTGGCTACTGATGGGTGTGAGTTTTCTTTTTGGGGTGATGAACATGTTCAAAAATTGATAGCGGTGATGGTTACACAACTCAGAATATACTAAAAACCAGTTGTACACTTTAAAAGGGTGAATTTTATGGTATGTAAATTATATCTCAATAAAGCTGTTATAAAAAATTAGTCTTGGATAATGCATGTATGCATAATAAAGATTTAGTGTGAGAGAGTAAGATGAAAATAAATTGACAGAGAAACTTTAGTCTTCTGTAATAGTGTAAGAAGGAATGGATGGTGTGATTTGCAGGGAAGAGAAAGATCAACCGGAATTTGTTTCTCCAGCAAATTAATATTGGGTAATTGTATGTTTTGAGAGACAGTTGAATTTTTATGTTAAACAGAGTAATGTTCTTTATATGGATTGTTTTTGATACATGATGTCTTTAAATAGGTCAGTCTTATGAAATTCGGATGCTGGATAATCGGAAAATGGGAGATATGCCGGAGATCACTGGAAAATTGGTAAAGGTAAGGACGATCCATTTTAATTCCTAATACATACTGCAATGATTGAAAAAAGTAGCAGTTTTGCTGCAAGGGATTTTTCTTTTTTGCTGCAAGAGTTTTTATAAAAGATTTTACTTAATTTCACTTTAACAAGTAATGGCTATATTAAAACTCCTAAAATTTTGAGCTATATTTTGTTCACTCATCTGTAAAATAGGAATTATAGCAGCTACTGGGTGAAGTAATTGTGAGAGCCCTTTGGAAACCAAAGTACCATAGAAAAGTTAGTTGCAGCCATTGGGGGAAAAACTCACCACCACAACAAAAACTTTGTTTCTCTTTAAAAGTAAAAGATAATGTGGGGGAAAAATGTAAGTGTTAATATGAAACTTTAAAAAGTCCTTTTATTTCACTTCTTAAAATTTCTCTAAGTAAAATTTGAAATCTCTGTTCACCTTACTGATGTATCTGAATGAAGAAGTCAGTCATTCCAGGTATAGGAGGCGTAGCCATTGGCCGGCCAACCTGTTCCTTTTAGGATATATCTTCAGAACCATCCCCGCCCCCTCCAGTGTCATGCAAGGTGGGTCCTTCTAGCCTCTACCTATCATGCACCACAGTTTATTATAAATTCCATAGCATTATAGGGCAAGGTTTATGGAAGAAACTTAATTGGGAAACAGCAAAAAACTTCAGTGTGACTACGTGTTAGCAAGAGAGAAACAGGCATGACTTCTCTTGATTCTTCCATCTTCCCACAGAGAGCCATCTTGGGGCCTTGGTGCTGCTGGGTCCTCAGTATGGAGAGGCATTCATTGGAAAGACCCTCCCCTCTCTGGACCCTCCTTTTTAGAGGGCAATCAAGGAAAAGGAAGCCTTGGTAGGGCGAATGGGTACTAATACTAAAGCTAACAAATTGGCATATCTGGGAAAGCCAGTTGCTCAGCACCTAGAGGCCTGGGAGTCTTTGGGATATTTTAGTACTCCTCCCACTCCTGGGGGCAGGAAGCCCCCAATTATTTGGAGAGTTGAGGGAAAGATAGAGGGTCTGTTCCACACTGGATCATTGTCTCTCCAGCTCGGAGTAAGCTCCTAGATTTATCTTTCTGCCTCCTGGGGCTCCCAACATACTTGCAACAGAAGGAGAGAGGTTATTTCCCCATTCTCGAATTTGCCGTCTGCTCTTTGAATCTGTTAATGTCTATGGTCAATCAGTGCGTTTGGTCATTTCCCTAGAGGATGAGTCAGATGGTCTTATTTTTTTTAATCCTTCCTATTGTTAGTGGATTGGATTCACCATTTTAAAAAGTCATCAGCATTGTTTGCAGTAAGCAAGCCCTACTTGGACTGGCTATACTCTGCTAGACTCTAATGACAAATAGCTACAGTTTGGTCAAGGAGCCAGACTAATAGCTCTCATTTTCTGTGTCCGGGGAGCTTAGAAATGTTGAAGATTGTCTCAGCATGCCCTAGTCCCAGCTGGCTTGCTGTCAGACAAGCCATTGGATGTCCTGGTGCACCTTTGGGCAAGTCTGCCAGTTGTACCACATGTGGTTAAAATTCAATATATATGTATTTTTTTTTAAGATTTTATTTATTTATTTATTTTTCCTTCTTCTCCCCAAAGCCCCCCAGTATATAGTTATATATTTTAGTTGTGGGTCCTTCTAGTTGTGGCATGTGGGATGCTGCCTCAGTGTGGCTTGATGAGCGGTGCTAGGTCCGCGCACAGGATCTAAACCGGTGAAACCCTGGGCCGCTGAAACTTAACCATTCAGCCACTGGGCTGGCCCCTCAACCTAGTAATATATATTTTTTTTAAGGGAAGATGTGGGTGAACTCTTCTGTCATGTGGAAGTTACATTTGATGACTGAGATGCTGGTTTAAAAAAAAGTGTAAAGTGTTGAAAAATTATTTTAATTGTAGATTCCTCTATAAAATGGAATAGGGCTTGATGGGCCCTGATTTGAGCTCCTTAAAAGTGTATCAACAAATGTTAGAACACTTTTTTCAACTTCTTATAGTAAAATTCAAACATACTCAGAAGTAGAGAGAATGATGTGATGAATCCACACATTTCTCTTATGATGGTATATCATCTCTTATTTCATTATTATCATTTCTCTTATGATGGTATATGATAAATACATCTATGTCATGAGTCCTCATCATAAGTTCTCCCAGATTCAGCATTTATCAATAATTTGCCAGTCTTGTTTCATCTCTTCCTCCTGTGCTTTTTTTTTTGCTTGAGTATAGAATTTACTAATTCATAATTTTAACTCATATTTTAAATAATAATTTTAACTCAGTTCATCATTGATGACTCTTCAGTATTCTGACGAAAATATAACAAATTTTGGTATCTAGATCAAATGCCAAAATTAAGTTTCCATCAAAGCATTGAAGAAAGTCATTCTGAAGCAGTTTGTCATTTATCGATGAAGACAAGCTGGCTTTCACGGGCAGTTCCCTGAATAGGTGGTAAGATTTAGAAATAACCAGTCCGATAGGTGAGACTTAATGTTTAAAATACTTTTGGCAAGCTAGTTAAAATACCTGTCAGATTAACTTGGAATGGCAGGGTTAATCAAGTTGTTGCTTGACTGTTTTAAGTTCACCTTCCTTGCATTTATTTCCAAGTTAAAACATTTAATATACAAAATTAGTGCAAGTTAAGAAAATTAAGGTAAAAATGACCCTTCATCATGAGATAATGAATTGTTGACACAGAGAAACCAGGCGGCTGTAAGTCCAAAGTGGGTGTTTTGCTGACATAACACTAGCATGTTGTACCTAGACAAAGGTAGTTATTTTGAAAGCATCAGTATCCCTGAACAGTTAGCTTATAGATTGGAAAGGGCTAATTTTTAAAAGGTCTTCAGTCAGTTTCATCTTCCACTTGGTAAGCAACATGTCTGATTTTTGGTGGGTGTGCCGGAATACATCCAGTCATATCCTGAGAGCTTGCCTGGGATTCAGAGCTACAGTCTGCTACTGCCAAAGACGACAGGATGAATTCCTTAAAAATCATATCCTTCTTCAGCTAGAGGATCCCTAAACTATTCTATAGCCATTGAGAGTTTAATTTCCTAGCCCCACGATCTTTGGCTTTACTACTGTGAGGGAGTCTTGGGCATCAAATGCTGGGTTAGTAAAGGTGCTTTGGAGCTTCTTCAGTGTGCTTAACATACTCAGCGATGTGGTTGCTCTGCTTGTTCTTTCTCTTATTGTTAGGGCCCCTTTATCCATTGCTGGTTTTCCAGGTGTGTTCGGTCTCCTTTTAGTCAGAATGTCCACACAATGACTTTTTCCTTTCCAAATTTAAGAAGTTTTGTTTAAATCTTGCAATTTCTTAACTATGGTGCTCCTTTCATATTCTTTACTGTACTCTCTTAGTCTGGCCTTCTAGAATGGGGTTTAGTAAGGCTCTTAAATCTATTATCTGTTTTCATCTGAATTTGTGGATTTAATCTGGTTCTTACTAAATATGGAAGAATCAAAATTATGACATTTTCTGTGCTGTACCTCCTTCTGAGAGATCGACCTGCTGGCGACCGTGAACCAGGGGCCACCAACAGCCCATGCCCCATCACTGTGAGGGCTTTGCTGCCAGCAGGCGGTGGTGTGAAATGGGTGCTGGAGAACTGCCCAGGGAGGCTCTGCAGACGTGGGTGCAGGTGGGGAAGATGGGCATGGATTGGAGTGGCCACAGGGCCTTTATAGACTTACACATCAGTCCTAACCACTGACTTGGCCTTTTTAACTATTTCAAATTAAAATATTGCTACTTGTAAATGGTTCCCTTCAAAATAATTACAGCTATGTTTAGGACAGTATTTGGGGGGTGGGAAAGGCAGGAGCACTAAAGTAGTATTTATGTGTATTGCTAACAAATTATTTCCTGTCCAAATCAGCAGAGAGTCTACTGGAAATAGGATTATCTTATTGCATCATAGTCTGAGAAATGCTTATTTGTAAATGTGTCAGACACACTCATTAGTGCAAATCTGGTAGCTGAATGGATTTTGATGACCTGTTATCTGTTCCTGGAATGAAACAGTAGTTGGCACCCCAAACCTGTGGGAGGGAAAGGAGGGGATGGTTGGAGAGCAGAGAATTGGCCTGGAGTTTGTAGAGTTACAGCCTTCCCTAGGGACCTGAGTGTCTGGATAAAGGTGACCTGTGGGGTTTTTCTTTTGTTTCTTAGATACCCTAACTTGCAGGTTAAATAGTTGAGAATGAATTTTGCATATAGGTTCTCCTTTTCGACGGGCGGGCAGATCCCCTCCCTTGACTGTCTTTCTAAAGAAACTCGATTATTAACTACTATTTTAAATTAATAGTTTTACCATTATACCTGGGTTTCTCTGTTTCTCTGGGTTTTACTACCTTTTAATTTTAGTAATTCCTCTGTGCATCTGATGGTTTCTTCATAGAAAAGTAATTCTTGCTCACTAATTTTATGGGCATGTACCTTAATTTTGAGCTGCAATATCAAATTTTTAAATAAAAATTTTACTAAACCATTTTATTCATGCTTTTTATTTTTGAGTTATAATTCTTTGCACCAAATAATTGTACCCATAATCCAGGTATCCAAGAGCAAAACAGTTCACTTACAAAATGTTAAAGCAGAGTTAGTTTTTGTACTCTTCTATTAGAGGTTAATTCATAAGAAGTGAAGATGCTTTTGCATTTTAGCTGCAGCAGTTTAAAAGTACTTGTTTTCCCCACTTATTCCATAGAGCATCATAAGAGTTGTATTCCATGACAGACGGCTACAGTATACAGAGCATCAGCAACTTGAAGGTTGGAAGTGGAATCGCCCAGGAGACAGACTTCTCGATTTAGGTACAAGTGGCCATCAGAAGAGCGTGGAGAGAGGACGGCGGTTGGTTAGCTGTGCCTGTTAATATGTTGGCACAACATGTGACTGTGGAGAAAGTTGTGGTGTTAGCAGATCCTGTGTGCCTTGAGTTGTTTTATAGTTAAAAAGTCATTTTTTTGGTGCTAAAAGAACGAGCCAGGAACTTTATGAGTTTGAAACCATTTATTTAATTCTCAATTGGCACCATCTATCATATTCTTAGTAAAATGAAATAGAAACCATGGTGGGACAAAGTATGACATGCATTAGGTGGGTTTTGATGTTGAAGTGGTTGACTGTGGAGAACATTGGAGAACAAAATTCAGCATGGAGCTATCATAATTTCATTAGAACATAATTATAGTAAGTTGTAAACTTTTTAATTATAGTGGATGAGTTTCTATGTAACTTCTTTTTAAAATATAGATATTCCAATGTCTGTGGGAATAATTGACACAAGGACAAATCCAAGCCAGTTAAATGCGGTTGAATTTCTTTGGGACCCTGCAAAACGCACATCTGCTTTCATTCAGGTTTGGATTTTTACGTTATTAGAAGCGTACTAGCTTAGTTATTTAGAAGGCCTTGGATGAGACTACATTCTTGATGCACAATATCTTTTGTGATGCACAATATCTTTTTCTTTAAATGCTTATTTGTGAGCTGTCTTGTAATGTCTTTTTAAAAAATATATACACTGTTAAATTGGAGTTAATCTACTAAATCCGTGATTTATAGACTAACAAATATAAAGGAAATCTGATATGTAAAGCATTATTCAAGCATTACTTTTACCATTGGTAATAACAATAATCAAGTCTTCCATTTTTCATAAGATGCATTTTTCTTGAACAAAAGCCATTTAAATGGATTGTTTGAAAAAGTGTACGGTTTTAAGATTCTCTAAGCATTATTTAAAAACATTCTTATATGGAAATTTTCAAACCCCCACAAAAGTAAGAGAATAACAATAATGACTCCTCTGTGTACCCGTCACCTGCCTTCAACAGTTAGTAGTAGTTTTCCCTTTTTAACTTATTGATAGAATATTTTAAAGCAACTCCCAAGCATTTCATTTCACCCATAAATATTCAGTTTGTGTCTCTAAGAGATGAGTTTTTTAAAAACAAAAATATAATATTATTATATGTAAAATAAAATCAGCAGTAATTCTAATACCCAGTATGTTCAAATTTGTAAGTGATAGAATTAAAACTACTGAGTAGGTCATCTTTATGTAGAAAAGGAAAACTACTTAATTGTTGACCAGCCTAAGTTGCCTCTGGTTTGTGTGAATTGTAAAGAATCTTTAGTGTTTTGCATTTTTGTGGTCTCCCAAATATCATGCCCCATCCACGCATAATCCCTAGGGACATGGTTCATATTGGTTGAATATTTTTTCATAGTGTTTGTCTAACAGGGTAACTAGTCATATATGAAATGACTAGAATGAAAGCAATGTAAATGTCAGCCTTACGTCTCAGGTTGTGCACAGTCATACTGCAGAGATCAGTTTTAACCTTGAGCCATTAGAGGAACTGTGTAGCAGTTTACAAATTACCAAAGTCTTGTTGCTAACCCTGTGCGGTACCCTAAAGCTGTCACTGTAGTGGTATTGGGAGAGGGGGCAGAAGTGGTGGAAGATGAGTATTGTCCTCAGGATCCTCAGTGAACTTTGAAGGGTTGACAGAAGAGTTTAGATGGATACAGGTAGGATGAGTAGTGGGCAAAGCATCACAAGTTGACGTATGTGGGACCAACAATAAGGTGATTGACTGGCTAGAACTGGGGTGATGGCGGCAGAGGGCACACAGTGGAAGCTCAGAATGATGAGGTGAGGACTGCTGTGGATTGAGCCACGTTCACAGCTTAGGAGCTGGGTCTGAGAGCAGCACAAGGTCCGGAGTGGAGGTAGGGGGAGGACGCAGGAAACGACTGGACTGTTGTCCCTGTATTCGGAGCAAGTCCTGAATTAGAGGAGAGGCACTGGATGGGGAAGAGCTCATTCCCAAAATGTTCAGAAAGGCTCAGTTGGATTTGTGAAAAGAAAGCCATATATCAAAACAATCAGAGAAATTCACGACAGATATCTGGCTGATATGTAGGAGTTTGTTTTAGAGGATCTTGAATTTTATAGCTCTAGCAGGACATCTGAGAGGGAACAAAGTAGAAGGGTAATCACTGGGCGGTACTTTGAATCCATTTCAGCTTGACTTGTTTTCTAGGTACACTGCATCAGCACAGAGTTTACTCCACGGAAGCACGGAGGTGAAAAGGGAGTGCCTTTTAGGATCCAGGTTGACACTTTTAAGCAGAATGAAAATGGAGAATATACAGATCATCTACACTCAGCTAGCTGCCAAATCAAGGTTTTTAAGGTAAATGATGGAAACCGGGCTTTTAGTAATTAAGGCCCAGTCTTGCTTATAAAGTTGTCTGTCTGAAGCCTGATGGATGAAATAATCTACTTTGTTTTTAAGCCTAAAGGTGCAGACAGGAAACAAAAAACTGACCGAGAGAAGATGGAGAAGAGAACTGCTCACGAAAAAGAAAAGTATCAGCCGTCCTATGATACCACGATCCTCACAGAGGTAATGCAGAGCGGCATGTCGGCTTCTGAAGAGAAGCAGAGGTTTGCATATTAGCAGTATCTCTAAGGATGAGTTTTGCTACAAAGGGGTTGGGGAAGATTGGGTGGTAGACAATGTTCTTTGTGAAATTTGTGGGGAAAATATTTTATTTAAATTTGGGGATTTTAATGGTTTCCTGGGTGGGATCTTGAATGAAGATGCTGAAATCCCAATCAGGTCTCAGAAAAAGACCTTAAAAACCTTGAAGTTGGCAAGAGATTAAGTCGGGGCCTAGAATGTCCTATTTTTGTCACTGCTGGGGTTTTGCATTTTCTTTAATTTTGAATCCTGCTAGTCATGCATTTGTTTAAGTGGACTGCAGAGACGTAAAGCAGGGTATTAGATCTTTCTTTGTATAATGAAAAGACATTGATCCCAATCTTTGGTGTTTGTCCAGATGAGGCTTGAGCCTATAATTGAAGATGCAGTTGAACATGAGCAGAAAAAGTCCAGCAAGCGGACTTTGCCAGCAGACTACGGTGATTCTCTGGCAAAGCGAGGCAGTGTAAGGGACTTCTGCTTCTCTTTTCATTGTGCAAGAAACCTTGTGCAGTGTTAGATATAGGACCAACTTCCACCGAAAAGTAAAGCCAAATTTGTTTCGGATGTCCTTGTCTTGATTTAATTTGCTTTTGTTTAGACTTCCTGCTTTCTGTTTGTTCCTCACTGAGGAAAATTTCCTAAATCTAACACTTTAAAACAAAGTTGACCATATTGGGTGGTTTTGGAGGGAAAAACGACACTGAGAAATATGTTCCCTCTCTGTCTCCTTCCCTTCCTCCCTCCCTCTCCCTCCTTCGTACACACACTTCCTTCACGAGCACTGAAATTAATTGAAATACTTTCTTTAGTAAAATAATTATCATTTTTGTGTAATTAAAAAAGGTTTTGCTTTCTCATGTGTATAACTGATAAGAAAATTTCATGGCTATTTCAAGAAATGATGGCAGCAAGCATGACATTAACGTATGCAGTATACTTTGTGTCACACTTCCCTGCATGTAGTATAAGAATGTGTGTCTGTCTGTGCTTTTAAAAGCCTGTTTGGCAGCACTAGTAGGAAGAAAATCTTTGACGGTGTTAGTGTTTCCTCTTGGCACCTGCATTGTGACCTTATGCTTCAGGCCAGAATAGTGCAGCTTGCTACACTCTCACCTGGTTCCCCCAACCTGCACTTAACGGGGTTTTTGGTTGAATATGAGCTTTGTCAGCCTAGGTTTAGCAAATCTTTATTTTATGACACAACTTTTCATCTAACAATCCACAAAGGATGATCCTGTTATATAGACTTAGATCAGCTATATACCTGCGGTAAATGTAAAGACAGAGCATTAAATAATTTTTTTTAAATAACTGTCATCATATGTATTAATGGCTACTCTATTCGTCATTGAAGTGTTTGTCCTATCAAGGTGACAGAAATGGAATTTTCACTCTTATACATGTATCTGTAATTATCTGTAGACTGTGAAACTCAGAAGTACTATCACAGGAACCTCATTTCCAAATTAAAGCATTGATTGAAAATATTGTTAATGCTTCTTTATGCATAAAACTGAAAAGATACTCATCTGAGTGAATGGGGAGCACACATGTTGCATTTTCTTTAACTGGGCTTTTTGGACTGAAATCAAGGTTGTATGGAACAACTGTATACTCCTTCCCCAAAATGCCTGCCCCTCAATTTTATGTTTTTATTTCTCTTCTGATTTCCCAGCTGAAGACTCGCAAATGGTTCTTAGTAAACTTTTTTGGGGAGACTGATAAATCACTTTTCTTCTCTTGTTAACCAACTAATTAAAAGGAGCGAGTTCTGATAATTCATAAATCTGTTACAGCCCAAAGCTACTCTGAAGATGGTAGAAATGTTGGTAAATTATTAATGATTCTTAAGTCTAAAGTATGCAAAACATCAGCAGTTCACTGGCCTGGGATTTCACATCTTCCTAGTGTGCTTGTTTGCTGCCCCGGGCTGCATTTGGTTTGGTTAAGATACTTCTGGGGGTGGTTAGAGCTCCTCTTGGAAACCTGTTTTAAAAAAGCAAGGTACAGATTAATCCCTTAAAAAATAAAGTCCGCAGCATTTTATGTATTTCTTCAAGTGCCTACGAAGGAAGGCCAGCATTTCTTATCGTTCTTGGATAGTTACAATTGGCTTTCAGTAGAAAGGGATGTCCAGACTTACCTGTTCAAGTTCAAAGGTGCTGTGTGAAATGGTCCCACACTGAATAGAGGCAGTACTCTTGGTTCCTAAGAGCTGCTGCACAGCAAAACCCTTCGTGTGCTCCTGAGCTCTTTTTTATTGGGTCAAATCAGGACTGCCAATTTCTGCAGTGTAAGAGGGGTCATTGTTTTCTAACCTACGAGGGGAGGGACTTTGTTCACTGTATACCAAAACCATGACCGTACGAGTCCAGGCCAGGTATTGCTAAACCTTAATGAATTAACAGATTGTCTTCAGAAACGTAGGCACCTTGCCACTGCTTGCTTCTAAAGACAGGCAAGAGTGACAAGGTAGAAGAAACACTGAAAATATTCCCAGCTATGCCTTTTTTATCCTCCTGGGTTGAGACAGCAAGAGAAACCTGTAAAACACAGGCAGGCAGGTCTTGGTGTTTCCTTCAACCTGGCCATTTAAGAACTTGGAATCCATTATTTTCTAAAAGTAGAGGCCTCCCAACAGGACCGGTTTTCACTGAACGCTGGTTTTTAGTGTTTGGTGAATTGAGTCTGATATTTATTGGGCAAGTTTTAGATGTCGACTATTAACAGCCCTTTTCTACTGCTAAATGCATCTAGATGTAATAGTAAAATAGGTGTGTTTATGGAGTTTCAGTAAATTTGATGTCTCTGCCTTTTAGTCTGCCGTTATAACTTGAAGCTTTTTGATGGCTTCATTTCCTCAAACAGCTGGCAGTAATTACCAAAGAAATTTGGGGAGACTTAATTTAATTAAATTTTTTTTTTGGAGGAAGATTAGCCCTGAGCTAACTACTGCCAATCCTCCTCTTTTTTCTGAGGAAGCCTGGCCCTGAGCTAACATCCGTGCCCACCTTCCTCTACTTTATACGTGGGACGCCTACCACAGCATGGCTTTTGCCAAGTGGTGCCATGTCTGCACCCGGGATCCGAACCAGCAAACCCCGGGCCGCTGAGAAGCAGAATGTGCGAACTTAACCGCTGCGCCACCAGGCCGGCCCCAAGAGACTTAATTTTAAAAGGTTTTTACTATTTAGATTTGTGTGTTATGTTACGTTGTAATATTTTGTATCTGGGGAGGACGGTGTAACAGGAAAATCTTCCAGGTAGTAGAGATGACCGTGAGCATGTGACACCTGTAAGTTATTATCAATTGGCTCACTGTGTCTTGGGTTCCTCAAACTGCATATGCTGAGGACATACTACTTTTTAAGATAGAAAGAAAACAAAGACCCTACTTTAAAAAGAATGAGTATTGTTGTATAAAATGTCATTTATAGTGAAATCGGTATGCCATGCAATAAGTTTAGCAGTGCTATCCAGCCAGATTAGATTTCTTTTTTGAAAGTTGACAGTAGTTGAAGCAATAAGTCTGCAGTCATTTTCCCCATTTTTGAGGGGATACATAATGGGTAGTTGTAAACAATGTTAAGATTCTGGGATTTCTGTTTTATGTTCTTTGTATTCATGCTTCTTACAGGTGTCAGACATGTTGTTTTAAGCTCGTGTAACCATTGGAGAGATTTGGTTTCTGCCCTCAGGGTGCTTCAGTCTCAGCTCCTTCACACAAGAAGTGGTCTTGACACTTACACTCAAAAGAATTTTGAAAAAGAATATCCTCCCTTACACATTTTTAGGTTGACATCTGAAAGTTTTCATATAAATTTAAATAGATGCAAAGGAGACAATTTTCTGGCATAGTGAATATTTATATTTACAATTTAAGATAAAACTATTACATTACTTTTTGAAGTGTATCCTGTGGAATCTAAATGCCCTGGCAGTGGTGACACCCACCATCATTCATGTAAAAAGTCCGAGATAAAGCTCTTTAGTGAAGTCCGAATTTTACTGTGCTCTTCCTTCTTGATCTCGTTTTCTCTTCCATTCCCCTTAAACAATTTTATGCTAATATGACATACTTTTATGCCTGAAAACCTTTTAATGATCACCCTAATTACTTCTTTACAATGAACTTATATTAATTGAAATTTCATTTTAAAATTTCCTTTGACCATAATTCTACGTCAGTTGAGAAATTTAAAACATCATTATTGGTACCACTTATAAAACAACAAATCCTACAAATTTTGATGAATAATTGTTAAATATAAAAACAGAAATGTTATTGGAAATGCATCTTGAATGATGAGACAGAACAGAACATAGTTAAATTCCAGGTTTTTTTTATAGATAAGAGAAACTTTGGTTAGAGACATTTACTTTTCTTTCAGCAGTCTCATTCAGGTCTTGGAACTCCTTTTGAGTTATCTGCCCCAAATCCCAGTGATCTATTTTTGTATGATCTAGGAGATTATTTCACTTACGTGTCAGCTGACAATAGGTCCTCCTGAAGTTTTTTGAAGGCAAAGAATTGAAACCACCTGACGTACAGAAGAGTGTTTTGAGAGTCAGGTACTTTCTTAGTATCTATCCTGATAACTTTGAGTGGCCTTTTCTTAGTTTCTGGCAGAGCCTTCTACCCCATGGCCATGGGGAGATACGATGTCTTTTTTGCGTAAAATGGAAGAAGATTGATTATGAAGGGGAACTCTTGAAACCGAGGGCTTTCTGAGGCAGATTTGTTTTAGAAAGAATACCTGTGGAGTGGTATGGAGTCCCTCCATACCTCCGTTTGAAGACATCTCCTTGAGACCACCCTAGCCTGCTCAGCAGGTTTTTCAGCTCTCCTAATTTACAGTCAATGTGTCTTTGTATCTTTGCTCTATTTTTGGTCAGAATTGTGCCGAGGGCTGAAAAATATTTTAAGTTCACCAAGTGCCTTCCAGGAAATATAAAATAATAAACATGTAGATAGGTATGGGCAGTACCATACACAGTTGATGTATTTTGATGCTAGGTCTGTCTCATCTTACTTGGGAAGCTCAGAGCAATCAAGGAAGCAAATAGAGACTGGTGAGGCTGCTCCTTGGGGAAAAGGGCAAAAGGAGCGCTAGGTAGGACACAGCCACTGTCCTGGTCACCCTGCCGTGTCATATGTTGCTTATGAATCCTTTCTTGCCTCTGCTGTTCTTAAACCTTGATAGGCACCTGTTGGGGAATTGAGAAAGAGGGAGGTGAAAGTTCTCGAAAGCAAACTGTACATAAGTATATATTTAAGATGCCTTTATAAACTTTTGCTGCTATCATCACTTCAGGTCTTCCCTAAGATTAATCAGTATCTAGACGCATACAGCAGGTAAAATTTTTCCTTGCCGCACAGAAGATTTGATATGTTTCTGTGAGGTTGCTTGATGAGTGTCAGGTGTCTTGTGTTTTAATCTTGCTTTTGGCCAGACTAGAGAGTGAATTACAAGAGTATTTCTTCCACCTACTTTATAAGCATATCATTAATTTATTTTTGTTTCTATCCTTAGTGTTCTCCGTGGCCCGATACCCCCACAGCCTATGTGAATAGCAGTCCTTCCACAGCGCCCACTTTCACCTCTCCACAGCAGAGCACTTGCAGTGTCCCAGACAGGTATCTGGTGTGTGTAATTGTGTGCCCGAGGCGGATTCATGCTCATGCTCCTTTCTTTCCGTTTCTCTCAATTTTCAGCACCCACCCCCCCTTTTTGTTTTTTTTTTTTACTATCTAAAGTATATAGTGATAGGAAGTAGCCTGTACCTCATTTTCAGAGGAAAGTTATCTTTTGTTCACCCACCAGCCTTTCCTAGCCCCTTATTTTTCACACATTCACAACTACGGAAATGGTAGAAGAGGGGGCATTTTCAAGATATAGTCTTTGTGAGATGAACACAGCATTAATGAGGTTCATGAATAGAGGACAGGGAGTTATTACGGTGATACCGAGACTTGAATATGTTAGATTGCATTTATTATAAAGTGCATTTGTCTTTAATGCTCACCATATCAGAGTTATTTTCTGCCCTGTTTCTTCTCCCTCCCAACAGAGACCCTATTTTTTAAAAATTAAGTCTTTAAACTTGAACGGCTTTCAGTTTCTAAAGATTTACTGTGGTTTTAGAAATGGGAATGGTGGACTTTGTTTATCTATTATCTGGCCCTGAGTGGCAACTGAGAATCTCATGAGCTCCAGGCAGCAGCAGGAGAGGCGTCTCAGGCGTCCAAAGAGGCTGCCGTGGTGCCACTGCAGAGCTTTCTGTCCCCGGGCTTTGCTGAAGAACTAATGTGGCGTAGGTCACATCTTGTTTCTACTCTGGTCCTGCTGACAGGGTCGGTCTTAGTCTGCTTGGGCTGCTATAACAAAATACCACAGACTGGGTAGCTTATAAACAACAGAAATTTATTCTCACCGTTCTGGAGGCTGGAAGTCTGAGATCAGGGTGCCAGCAGGGTCAGGTTCTGGTGAGCATTCTCTTCTAGGTTGGAGACTGCTGACTTGTGTCCTCACATGGTGGAGAGCAGAGCAGACGAAGCCGACTCTCTGATGACTTTTATAAAGCCACTAATCCTATTCATGGGGGCTCCACACTTAATGTCCTCATTTAATGCCAATTACCTCCCAAAGGCCCCACCTCCTAATGCTATATAGCACCTTGAGGGCAAGGTTTCAGAGAGTGATTTTTGAGGGAACACAAACATTCAGACCATAACAGGGTCTGTCCCTGAGGAGATGGACAGACTAAGAAGGCAGCTTGTTTTCATCTAGGTTACTATGCTTGAAGAGTAGAAAAATACTCATAGACTCAGAGACATTGGGGAGAGAAGGAGCCCAGCATGCTGCCATGTAGGGGGACTCTTCTAGTTTCACAGTCAGTCTGGTCTGAATAAGCCTAACAAATGATTATGATTTTACACTGGAGCTGTGAATTCACGTAGCCACTAGTTGACCTGATATTTCCTGAGAGCCCACTGTGTGCCCTCCACTGTTATGGGTGCTGTGATATGTAAGTGACAGACAAATCCCTGTGTGAAGGAGCTTAAGTTCTGGTGGGTGGAGACAGTTGGTAAACAGAATAATAAACCTAAGGAATTGAGGTTATAAGTACTAAGAAGGGTCAGAGCTCAGGACTAGGAAGGTGGTCACATTCCTATGGAATTGTTTTTCATTTTCATTTTACCTTAGAAACCACTAGGATAGTGGTGCAGTTTCTTTCTTTTATTCTCTTGAATTCCACCCTCTTTAATCGCGGATAAATGTATTAAAGGGATATCATTTTCTATCTTGGCTTAGGATCATTATACCCTTTCTTGTAGCTCATTATTTTCTTAAAGTAGATTTTTTGCAGTTATTTTCAACTGTTTATCTTATTTGATTTCTCATATTTTTTTCCTAACTAAAATGAATCAGTATCCTCCATTTTCCTGGCACTCTTGGAGATAATTAGAACCCTTGTGTTTCATAAATCTTGAATTTCTTACTAGAACAGACAGAGAAGGAGGCAGCACAAATTAAGAAACTGTCTTCTGTGTCTTAACCTTATCATCAAATTTACTCCCTGACCAGTTGTACCAATATTCTTGTTGCAAATTTACATTGTTCTGTCCCACAGTATTATTTTAAATTTATGTAGTTTAATAGCCTTTAGGGTCTTAAAAAAAATATATGTATCATAATCATCCTTGCTTTCCTTCTCTCCAGCAATTCTTCTTCCCCAAATCATCAGGGAGATGGAGTTTCACAGGCCTCTAGTGAAGTAAGTATCTTTTTCCTGAAACTATCAGATGCTTTCAAAGTTCTGCATGTTTAAGCCTCTGATGACAGGGCTTGAGTCGTTGTTTGGGGCGCTGAGTGTCAGACCTGTGCTGCTGACTTTAAACTTGGAGGATTTGTGTGTTCTGTTTGAGTGTTCTTCTTTATAACATGCCAGTGAGTTGGATTATTTTTTTAAGTTTGAAGAGTTTCTTCTATTTATATTCATTTTCTTTGTTAATAGAAACTTCAGCCTTCAGCCACAATCCAGGAAACACAACAATGGCTGCTCAAAAATAGATTCTCTTCCTATACAAGACTGTTTTCCAATTTTTCAGGTATGTCTGTGTGTATGCACATGCCTGTATGGTTTACTTATTTCTGTGCTTTTATTAACTTTAATTTAAAAAAAAATTTCGAAATAGTTATAGATTCATAAACAGTTGCCAAAATGTGTACAGGGAAGTCCTGTGTACCTATTGTCCAGTTTCCCCCAGTGGTAACATCTTGCATACCACTTGTACACCCTCAAAACCAGGAAATTGACTCAGTATAATCTACCATTTCACCAGTTGTATGTGCCCTCATTTGTGTATAAGTGTATGTAGTTCTTTGCAATTTTCTTTCTTTCTTTCTTTCTTTCTTTTTGGTGAGGAAAATTGGCCTTGAGCTAACGTCTGTTACCAATCTTCCTCTTTTTGCTTGAGGAAGATTGTCGCTGAGCTAACATCTGTGCCAATCTTCCTCTGTTTTATGTGGGATGCTGCCAAAGCACGGCTTGATAAGCGGTGTGTAGGTCCATGCCCGGCATCCAAACCTGCGAACCCTGGGCCTTATATGAATGGCAGCATATAATAGGTGACCTTTTGAGATTTTCTCACTCAGCATACTGCCATTGAGTCCATCCAGATAGTTGTGTGTATCCATAGTTTGCTCCTCTTTATTGCAGTATAGTACTACATGGTACGAATATCCTCAGGTATGGTTTGTAAAGTGTGAATTTCTTCTTGTATAGTAAGCTAAGGGAGTATTTAGATGGAATTTTTAAAGGGACCAAGCATTGCTTCTCTAGGAGGTATATAGGGAACCTGTCTAGAGGGACAGTAATAGATAATGCCAGGAGGGGCAAGGGCAGCATTTCCCAAATGTATTTGGCCCAGGGACCGTTTTCCTACAGAACACTTACCAACGTGTCCTGGCCAAACACATCTTGAGCAGTGCTGGGCCACAGTGAAATGGGGCTATAAAAACACAGCTTGAGCCTTTTAAGAACGTGCGTGTGCACACACCCGGCCTAGAGGAGAGCTTGATTTCACAAAGAACGTTGTGTCCTATTACGTCAGCCATTTATTGCAGGGCTTGTGCAATGATTAGTCATTCCCTGTGTTGCTCTTTGTCTCTAAAGTAGCCAGTGAAAGTTGTGTGCTAGCTGGTAGCCACATTTTTATATGACTGAGTAAAAGCCTTTATCTGTGAAAAACTGGAAATTAAGAAATTTCAGTTGGGGGGCATACACACATATTGAACCCTCATGGGGAAGACAGATGCAGAGCATAGCACATACAGAAAGCTCTGGCAGTTGGAACTGGGGGCAGTCCCAGGTTACGCCTATTATATGAGGTAGATACATGTTTTCGTCTGGAGAGTTCTGAGCCCTTTTCACTGTGAGCACTGATCTCGTGGCTTGGCCTCCTGCCTTTTCCTTACCCTGTGAGCTTCCCAACAATAGAAAGGTGAGGAGGAGAGTTAGGCTCCTTGACCTGAGCCTCTTGGGCATTCACATTTCAGAAAGAGTTGTACACATAAGTATCTGTCCAGTTCTGTGGACGGGTTAAGGATGTTTACACACACCTCTGGGCACTGCTGTGAACCCTGTTTTCAGAGGTGTGTGCAGTATGCCCTGGTAGAGAGGTGAGAGGGAGCCTGTCTTTGCTTACTTGGCTTGCATAAAACCACGCCATCAATGCTTGTGCCTTGTGGGAGATGTGCTTCTTTGGTCTTTATTTCTTTTATAAATTAGAAAGTTATTAGGCTCTCACATTCAGGCCTAGAAAGTTATTAGGCTCTCACATTCAGGCCCTCAAAAACAGAAAGGTAACCCTATTATCTTGTTACATATGTAGGTGGATATTTATCCTGTGAAAGTCATGGCTCAATCCCAGAGAGTATCTTAATTCTCCCAGTTAAACTACATCTTGAGTGTTAATAAAAGAGAGAAACAAAAGATTATGGACACATCAAACATAAAAAGTAGAGAGAAGAGTATGATGAACCCCGATGAAACCATCCGCAGCTTCAAAAATCATCAGCCTTTGGTCAGGCCAGCTCTCTACCCTCTCCCCCTTTTCTGTTGTATTTTAAAGCAAATCCTAAATATCATGCCATTTACATTTACCAACTATTTGTGGGAGAAATCTTAAGGTATAATATGCAATTCTTTGCCATGCTTTTGTCCTGAAACTGGCTGCTGTGACAGAGTTATTTTCCAGAATGTTTGACTTTTCACTGTGTGTTGCCGTATAAAGAGGCCTAGTCCTGGCTCTGCTGCTGACTTGTGTGACTTGGAGCAAGTCCCCCAAACTCTGGACTTCCATTTCCTTTTTTTGTAATACAAGATTGGTCTGAGTGATCTTAAGGTTAATTATCTGGGGTCAGAATCACGTTTATCCACACATCCACCACCCAGCCAAAATAAGGTAGGTGGGGAACTCCTGTATAGGGCCCCCCCATTGATCTGCCTCACCAGACTCTGGGCTTCTAAGCTCCTTCTTGATTTAGGACATGGAAGAGCCAGCATTTTTTTTGGCTCTGTGGGACAGAGAGCGTGTGTGTGTTCTTGTGTTGCTCATGTATATGTGTATACTCAGGATACCTGTGATGGTTTTGAAGGACAGTTAACTGTGTGAAGACAAATGCCATAAAGTAGCCAGTCCTGCTAGTTCTTTTCCATTTCTTTGAGAAGAATCTTTCTGCTGTTCTCCAGGTGCCGACTTATTAAAACTGACAAAGGAGGATTTAGTACAAATATGTGGTGCAGCCGATGGAATTCGGCTCTATAATTCACTGAAGTCAAGGTAAAATACTGTGTTTAAAAGGAACTGTGTGCTTGAAATAAAAATGTACCTTTCTTCGCGTGGGGAATTTGGGCAGAATGTGTTTCCACGCTGGGTTGGCGTGTGCCTGTGTGCGCTGTCGAGCATCGGCAGCATCGCGCTCACAAGAAGACTGTTTTGTGTACACCTTCAGGGCAGGCCCAGATATGATGCAGGCACTGATGAGGGCAGAGGTAGACTGTAAGACTGGTAGAAATGCACATGGGCAGTACTGATTTCTTGAAGACGACTGGGTTTGTTGCCAAGAAAACAAACTTCTCATTTAGGTGAGCTATACAGAATCTATGGTTTTCAAGGTCGTTTGACTACTACTAAACAGTTATTAAAAATGTAAACTTCTCATTGTGAATTAAAATGATAGAACCGTAAACTGTGCTGGCTTTTAAGATCCATTTACTATCATTGCTATTTCTAGACTTGTGGTATGAGAATTCCATTAAAATTGAATCTTAACTGATTTTAAATTGCTGACTTAATCTTGAAACTTAAATTTACCAGCATCTGACAGACCATCTCAATGGTTTAGAGTCTGGATCATCAGATTAGACCACCTGTGATAGTTGGTGTGAGGTGTGTGTTTTTATATTTTTATTAGTAAATTATTTTGTATAATAAAATAACATTGTAAAGTTCTCATAAGGAAATAGAACTTAGATTCCTGTAGTTATCATTTGTTCATGTGGTGAGGCAGCTTTGTCTCCCCGACTCATGAGTGGCATCTTCTGCTTACAGGTCGGTTAGGCCCCGCTTAACCATCTATGTCTGCCAGGAGCAGCCAAGCAGCACACCACTGCAGGGGCAGCAGCATGCTGCAGGCAGTGGAGGCGAGAGTGGCAGTGGGACACCCTACGGTGGGTATCAAGGGCATCTCAGCTTCCTGTGACCCTTTCTGATGCGGAGGCAGAAACGGGAGAGACTGAGCAGGGTTTCGAGGACTCCTGTCACATCAGGACTGCAGAGTTGCTGCCGTAGGGGTCTTGCCAGCAACGAGAGGCAGCAGCTCTTGGTTCAAGTTGTTGGAAGAAGAGGAAACTATTGGCCTTTCTCAGTGATTTCAGCCACACTGTGGGTCTTTTTTTACATAGTTCTTTATGCCAGAAACCTCTAACAAGTGAAAGACTAGCTTGAATGGTTTGGGGTTTTGCTGTTTGTTTTTTTAATCTCAGATTTACTGAAATGATGACTATAACATTTGCAGCTTGGAAAGCAGGGGGTTTTTCTTTTCTTGTTTTCCATTTTACTGATTGGGGAAAAACTTAAAATATCACATGAGCAAAGATGCGTCTGTGTAACAGGACTAAGTGTGTATAGTTGTCTCTCACAGCATCTGGCCAGCACTGCGCTTGGTGCAGTGAGTGGTGCCATGGCCTTTTGTTACTGTAAATATGCTCTCTGTCATTATCCCTTGAGTACTGGGGGGCTTCTCATCCTGCAGGTTTGCCTTAATTGTCTGATAGAGTGCTGGATAGGGCAGAGAGAGAAATCCTGACCCTCCTCCCCTCCTCTAAATATGATCCTTAAAAAAAAAAGCAAGCATTTTTTTAAAGGCACATGTTTTCCCATTTGTAAGGTGGTATGTGGAAATATGTTCCCTCTTCCCAAATTCTGAAACAAAATAAGGGCAGCACACCCAGAATTTTCAAAGAAAAATGTGTTATGGAATTCAGAGAGGCAGCTGTTTGCTCTCATAATGAGTAGAGTCTGAAAAATACTTAGCAGCTTGAATTTTACTGCAGAATCCCAAGGAAAGCATCTGTGGTGAGCTTTCCATTGGTATCATTTTGAGTTCAAAAGCTGTGAATTTTAAGACTAAAGATACAAAGTCTTAGTCTAAAAGGATAAAAAGTCTAAAGGAGCTCTCCACATATCACCAAGGTCTTCTGTATCATTTACGTGTGGTCAGTATTATAATATTTTGGAAGGCGTATCCTCAAACATGAGTGTTTATGGAGGAGTGTGTGGACATATTGGTGAACTTCACCCTGGATCAGGCACAGCAGACCTTTTCTCTGAGAGGCCAGGTAGTGAATCTTGCCAACTCTGTGGACCACAGGGTCTCTTTCCCTCTCAGCTCTGCCATGTGGTGCCACAAGCACCATAGACAATCTGACACAATGGGCCATGTTCTGACAAAATTTTATTTTAAAAGAACAAGTGGAAGGCTGGGTTTGGCTCACACAGGCTGTAGTTTGGTGACCCCTGCTCTGGATCATCTGTATAGTCTTTAATTATAGTTCCAAATTCTAAGCTTTTCATAAAGTATAATTAGCGAAGCTTTCTGTACACACACCAGGAAAAGCCCTTGTTTAGAGAAGCAAAGCTCCAGCACTGATACTCCTGATGGATGTCGGGCCTGAGTCAGGAAGGGAGCAGGACCCACAAGAGGCAGACTCATGCGGCTGTGCTGAGTCACATGTTCTAGAAACACAGAACACTGGGTGGACTGGGACTTTCTGTAAAGAGGAACCAGGCTGCATTGTCTGCATCCTTAGCTTTTTGTGTGGCATCTTTTACATTGTTTTTAATTCTTTGGGGCATGGAGAGGGAGGAGAGGTAGCTTTTATTTCTTAGGATAAATTCCCACTAGTAGGATTACTGAATAAAAAACTATGACCCTTTTTAGGATTCTTTGTATATACTGCTAGAAACACGTGTTTTTGAAAACAGCTTTCTTGAGGTGGAGTTTATATACCATAAAATCCTCCCATTTAAAGTATACAATTCAATGATATTTTAGTAAGCTTACAGAGTTTTTGCAGACATTACCACAATCTTACTCCAAAAAGATCTCCTGTGCGCATCCGCAGTCAATTCCTGTTTGTTTTTAAGAGAAATTAAAACCTCAAATCGTTTTGTACAGAGATTACTGTTACTGGGTATTCTAGGTGTGAGCACAAAAACTTAATGCATTATTGTATTTCAGATGGGTGATAAGGGGGAAAGAACTATCAGGTTGTTCCCATTTTCTTCTGTTTGTTTTCAGTACTTTGAAAGGTGTGACCTTCCTCTAGATGAGGTAGAAAACAGATCAAAGATGACTGCTAAGATGCTGTTCTTATTTTTCATTTCAGTTTATCATGCAATCTACTTGGAAGAAATGGTTGCCTCAGAAGTCGCTCGAAAACTTGCATTGGTGTTTAATATTCCTTTCCACCAGATTAACCAGGTTTACAGACAGGGTCCCATTGGTATTCACATTCTTGTTAGCGATCAGGTAACTCGAACTGGCATGCCCTCTTGCTTTTCCCATTCACACTGGTGTTCACTTTTATATATATCATTGCAGAACTCGGGAAAAATTCTGTGATCTCTTTTGCCCAGTACTCATGGGAATTGTTTTCAGGGAGTTGGGGATCAAAATTTGTAAGAATTTATAACCAAGAGTTTCAGATATCCTAGTGATATAATAACACAAATCGGGGAGAACTGTGGCTCCCCCATCCCTTTTCAGTTCAGACACTCATGGGGGGACTTCTGGGTGAGTGGGGGCTTTGGCCCTTTTTATGTAGACAGGCATTTGGATGTGTTTTCCTTTTGTCCACTATTTGATGAGTAATTTTAAAAAACAGTAAGGTTAGAAGTACAATTCCTCCCCCGCCAGTGTTCAGTGATGAGCAAGTAGTAACAGAAGAGCGCTTAACGCAGTGACTTGTCCTTAGAGTGGTTATTCACGGGATCAGATCTCACAAGGACTGTCATGGGCAGGCCCTGCCAGTGCAGCAGGTGTAAATTTTTACTACGTCACACTGCCTTCATGAATTACCATTTTGGCTGTTGAGTCCTGTACTTGTGTGACAACATATAGATTATGACACTTTCTTTTACTAATTTTAATCTTTTCTAAAGAAAGGACAGTTGGATCTTAATTATACATCTGCTTTATCCTTCTAGATGGTTCAGAACTTTCAAGATGAGAGTTGTTTTTTATTCTCCACAGTAAAAGGTACTTTGCATGTGTGCATGTGTCTTGAAATGCTGGAATCATGAAAGAGTGTGTGTGCCTGTAATCAGCAGTCATCTTGTGTGTTTACTTTTGAAAATGCTGGCTTTACTAATTTTAAGAGAGTTTGACAAATGAATCAAGAGAATGTTTCTAGCGATTGTAATGGAAGTTAACTGGCAAATAAAGAGGAGAAATCAGTCCTTCTAGATGACTGGGGGGAAAAAATCTCAATTCCTTCAGCCAGTGTTTCACTGAGCATCATGTGTCAGATACCATGCTTTTGGTGCTAGAAAGATCTTGAACAAAACAGACTCCGTGGAACTCTAGAGTGGGGAAAGCAAACCAGAATTGGCCAGCAGATGAGCATAATTACAGATATGTTAAGTGCCATGAAGGAATGGGAAAGTGTGGAGTGCTTATGGACAAGGGGGATCTGGGTAGGGGGACATGAGCCTGTTAGGCAAGGCTTCTCTGAGGAGGTGTCGATAACGCTGAGACCTGAAGAGTGAGAAGGAGCCGACCATACGAGGAGCATCCCAAGTGCAGGGTAAAGGAAAAGGAAAGAGCTTGGCCTCTTTGGAGGCCTGAGAGAGGGCCATGGAGCTGCCGTGCAGGATGTGAGGGCCAAGCAGAGCAAAATGAAGTCAAGACGGGCAGCAGGACCTGCTATTGATGGTAGTTTAGACTTGATTTGAAATGCATTGGGAAGTCAGTGAAGTTCTTTAAACAAAGGAGTCATCTGATTAGATTTTTCTTCCATCTTGCAACTCTGTGGAGAGAGAAGAGAAGGTGGGAAGGCTGAAGGCAGGAGATATCATCTAGGTGAGGGGTGATGATATCCTATACATCTATAGACAGGGCCCTGCTGGGCTCCACGTTTGAGGGAGGAGTGGTTGTGACTCTTGTAAGAGCAGCTGGGCAGACAGTGGTCCCAGTAGAGCGTTAGGAATGGTGAAGAGAAAGCAGCAGGAGTTCCATTTCAGTATCTGGAATTGTCAAGGTGGCAGTGATTATGCCCATCTGGAGCTGGCAGGAGAGGCTTGGGCTTGAAATGTAAATCTGAAAGCCTTGAGCATATCAGCGGTGACTCAAAGCTGTGAAATCGTTGGGGTCATTTAGGGGAGAATGTGCAAAGAAGGCCTGGACAGGGCTCACGTGAGTTGCAATTAAAGAGTTAGATGAGGGATTTTTTTTTAAGATTTTACTTTTTCCTTTTTCTCCCCAAATCCCCCCAGTACATAGTTGGGTATTGTTAGTTGTGGGTCCTCCAGTTGTGGCATGTGGGACGCTGCCTCAGCATGACCTGATGAGTGGTGGGATCCGAACCGGTGAAACCCCGGGCCACCAAAGCAGAGCGCGCGAACTTAACCACTCGGCCATGGGGCCGGCCTCCAAAGGAGGGATTTTTAAATGTTAAATTATTATACAGAAAGAGACTTTTAAAAGCCTGTGGTTTAAGATCTAACTCCAGTCCTGCACAAAAGCTGCACTTTGAAGAGCAGGATATCCTGTGTCACTCTTTCCTAGAAGTGACTCTGGAAGGGAGTAGCCCAAAACAGTGCTGAAGTTGATGTCACTTTGTGCCTGATGTGATGCATATGTCATCAAGTTACCTGCCAGGTTGAGTTTTAACTGTGAACTGGTTTACTTTATCTTTTACTTTCACAAACATCTTTAGCGTAGTACCCTTCTGCTCAGTTTTTTGTTCTCAAAGCAATACAATTTTACTCACAAAACTCACATCATTTAAGAAAGGGCTTTCGTACTGTAACTGGATGGTAGAGTTCTGTGAAAGCAGTGGACCCTTCTGACGTCAGGCATCACAGGTATCCCCTCCAGTCTCAGGGTACCGTTGTTCTCATGAAAAAATTCATTTGTTCCTCCATGAATGCCTGTACTGCTTCTCACCATTGCTTGAGAAACACTAGGCCATCAGGCAAAAATAATGATAGATTTTTAAAATGTTTCAGCTCTACCTCTAAGCAGTTCAAACATTATTTCCAGCAAGGACCGATGTGTGCAGTCAGTTGATTTGTATGTCTGTGGAGCTGATGGTCCTCTGCCCTGGCAGCACAGGCTTTTCACTTCTTCTGCCTCCAGCTTTTGCCCCTTTGCTTCCAGCACTTTCGCTGCTGGTCTTGATACCCCCACCGCCCTAGAACTGGCAAGCAGTACGGGCCAGACATGGGAAAGCAAAATATCTGAAAGGGAATGTGTACATGTTGTTGCCTTAGGGAAGAGGAGCTGGAGCAAGTTAATTGGCTTTTGCTCCTGTAGAATTATTTAAAGGTAATTCTGAAATGGGGAGGAAGGGTGTAGATTTCTGGGACTTTTCACTTTAATAGCCTTGATTTTCCTAAGCCTGGCTAAAAAAATTGTACCTTCTTTCCTTTTTTTGTAGCTGAAAATGGTGATGGTATCCACATAATTTTGAAATGATGTCTTACATAGTCTGAACTATATTCAGTACCAAATAAAGTCACGCTTAAAAGTGTGTGAAGACTGAATCCAAGAAGTCTTGGGATTGGATTTTACCGTATGAAATGTTTCATATTGAAAACACAAGATGACCTTTCTAATGAGCTGTATGAGAGGCGAATCTCCTCACTGTCACTGCCATAGCCAAGCATCCTCGTGAGAGTGAGCACGTCCGGACAGCATGCGTGCAGCTCTGGGGGCCACGGTGCAGGCAGGGCTGCCTGCTTCTCTGGCAGAGGCCAGTAGATACAGTTCCTAGAAGCAGCCTGTGCTGTCTTTTTACACTGTATGCGGTTTGGAAATGAATGTAAAAATGGACTGTGGGCATTTACCTTTCTGTGCCAGTTTGGCTTTTATTGCCTGAACCTTATGCTGACCTGGGGCAGGTGGGGACAGTGCTGCTGTGGAGCCAGCATGGAATCTGTCTGCGGAGAGGCAGTGTGCTGATGCAGTGATTGGTGGTCAGGTAAGAGGCGTGGCACCTTCTCAGAAGAATCATGTCTAAGGCTGTGCGTCTGATGCGATCATGCCAGATGGAGGAAGAGCCAAGCCAGGAAGCCGGGCTCGAAGCAAACTGCATTATCAAGAGTACCTTGGTGAGAGGATCAGTGTAAATCCTAATAGGTACAAAGACTTGTGTTTTGCTTTGTCACAGTTTTATTGAGAAACTTTCGCTTCTGCTTCCATTTTTAGCATTTTGTTTCTGGTTTTCATTTTTGAAGCCCCATTGTCTTTTAAACTCATGTGGTTTTCTTTCTCTTTTTCCTCCTCCTCTCTGTCTCTAACACCCTTCCTACTCTACCCTGTACCATCCTGTTCTTAGACATTTTCAAAGCCCTTCCCCAGACATCGGAAATAGGTGACTTAAGCAGGGGGAGAAGTATGATAGTTTCTGACTTGGTGTTAAGGGGTCCTCGTTATCAACAAGTTGAAATTATTCATGGAACACTAGACATGATAAATCAAACACTAAATTGTACCATAAAAATTCCCTACACCACTTCTCAAATATTAAGCTTTAGTACAATCATGGGTGAACATTCTGCTGATTAGAGGCTTTTTTATACACCACATAGTAGCTTCTTTTTCTATAAAAAAGAGTATCTCTTTCATAAAACCAAATGCTTGTCTGCTAGTCTGCTTTTCAGAGGGAATCCACTGTTTTCAAGTCTTCCCGAAGTTCATCAGCAAGCATTTTTGAGGGTTGTGGTATAGCAAACCCAGTGTTTTTTTTTAAACTTTGATTCCATTTTAATTATACCATCTCTGTCCTCTTACCCAGATTTGATCCTTATCTTTGTTCAGGAAGAACAGAAGTGAGTAATTTTGAGTTTGAAATCTCTCCCAGAAGACAAGTTTGACATTTTATGTTTTATTCATAAAGGGGGTATTTGATATGAAGCAGCACTGTCTCTAAATATTTCCATCTTCGGTTTGAAAATATCTGTGACTCCTACAGACCCTAGAGCAGGAGAGCTTTCCTTTCTGTCATCTTCCCTTTGCTTTTGTGTGACCCACATGTTTTCTGTACCAATCACTTGGGAAAGAAGTGAGCTTCTCTCTTAATTGTTTTAGAGTTTTGCTTGTCTATTTAGCATTCCTTTTTGAGTCTCAAGATTTATGGAACAATAAATGTCATTTAATGCTGTGTGCTATTTTGAATTCCTCATCAGGTTTTAGAAGTGGGGTAAAAAGAATTTTAAAAGCTCATCAAACTTGAAATTACACCAAGTGGTGGTGAACATTAGTCTGTCCCAGTGAAACAGGTTCAATTATGGCACCAGCAAATTTGCTACTTTGTTTTTTTAATAGTAGGATGTATACATTTCAGTATAATAAATGTTTTCCGATTGTTTTGCAAATGTGTGTCTCATTTAAAATCCCAGTTCCTGCCAGTGTGATCAGTCATAGGATCAAGGGGTTCCGTGTCTATGTCCTGAGTACACACCAGTCCTGTGCTAGAAGAGATGAAGCCCGTGTGGTGGTGGTTTCTTTTCAGTTTGTTTCCTCAAAGCTGATGCAACTGAGCACACTTATTCCAGTAACTGTTCCATACTCAAAGAAGCAAACGTGGTTTCCTTAGCAGAGGTTGAGGTGATGGGACACTGAGCAGCCAGTCTAGTAGCTGTGATAGGTTGTGTCCTGGCTCAAAAGAGAGAGATAATGTATGGAAGGCCCTGGTCATTTAAATTTTTAAATAGAAACTACAATTCATAGTCACTGAAGCAAGTCTGTGTAATACGCTCCTTTGTTTATTTAAATAGCTTCCTGCATCAGTCATTTGTCCCTCCACACAGTGGTGTAAATGTATATTTAAGTAACTGCTATGGTTACACACAATTTTTAGACCAGGGAATACTAGAGTATACCATAAGGCAATAAAATCATCAGGACTTTAATGCTTATTCCAGTAATCCTGTTAAATCGACTTATGCGGTTGTAGATGTATCTGCCTTCCCTTCTAGAATGTAGCTGAGGCACTGTATCCTAAATGCTTCTAAAACTGTCCATCTAAGAGGTATTGTTAGTCATGGGAAAATCTCTCATTTTTGCTATTTCACTTCAGCTTCCCTTGAGCTCTGAACTCTTCAGTTTGGAGAGTGGTTGCTAGGAAACGTTGGCTACCATTAACACAGAGGTTCACAATGAAGATGGCGATGGGTTCCTAATCTTTAAAAAAATCACAAATATGGACAGCACAGAGCACAAACTAGATCATCTTATCAGATTTTAGGTAATATTAGGAAGATATGAAATTGGAAAATGGTTTTGCTCAGATTGTCTACCATAAGATTATAGCAATAAAACCCTCTGACTTAAGCATTGCAATGGTTTGTTCATTTTTATATGAGTCTAAAAGGTGCCAACACTTTACTGATCTGAGTTTTAAGTGTGTAAAATTTTCAAACAGTTCTGGTGTAACTTGATTTCTAAGATTTTAAAATAAACTTGGAAAAAAGATCACACTCATTCTACATGCATCCATTCATTATTTTTAATTGATTATATTATAGATAACTTAAGCCTTAATCAGTTCTATTTCTTTAAGGTCCCCAAAATTTTGTGGGAGATGACATTAGCTTTTCTCCTATAACAAAAATGCATTATGTGCTATAGCATACCCCAGAGCCTATAATTTCCAACCAGGCAACACAAACTCTGAGTTGCTTTTGTTTAGTTTTTGGTCCCCAAAAGTTTATATGACAAGTTGACAGAAAGGTGAAGACCCGGCTTCACCCAGTTGAGAGTCCTCACTTCTTTGGTGTCTCATGGAAACCTATTTGCCTTCCACATAGATCTCTACATATAAAAGTATCAGACATTAGGAATTTGCAGTACAATCACTTTGATAAAGTTGCTTTAATCTTCAAAGTGGAAAAGTCCTGCTAATCAAAATGGAATCAGTGTGAATTAAACTAGCCCACTGGCTTAAGTATCAGGTAGAAATACAACAGCTTATTTTTTTGCTCAATTGGTGCTAACACTGATGGTTTGTTTGAGGAACGCTGACAAAGCCGAGGGCAGGACTTTCGAACCTGGGAAGGCACCCACCTCTCAAGAGATCGGGGTTTATTGCACGGTCCTGGCTGCACTGAGACCTCTCCTGCCGTGTGTTAACTGACACAGGCTTTAATTTGATTGCATCACAGCAGAATAAAGGTGAAAACTATCACCAGAGTTACTGCAATCCCTACAGAAGTCTTTTACCTGTAAATGCCTTTCCCAATGGAGAATCAACAGATTTGGGTGACAGTGGAGTAGGTCAGGAAGACTCGGGTCTTCTCTGGAGGAAGGGACATCTCATCATGCCTTGGTCCCAGGCAGCTGCTGTCAGAGAATGACACAGCACCTGCACAGTCGCTGTCCACTTCCTCCCACTGCTGTCGGTGGGGTGACAGGAGCGAAGTAGGCATGGACTTTGACATGAGGGAGCTGAGCCTGAAAGTAGAAAAAAGAAAAAAGTGGAGTAGTCTTTACACTGGTATTTTTAGGATTATATGCATAATCCTAGAAAAGCCCACAGTTCTCATGTAGAATCTATTTCACTTTACTATTAGGCAAATAGTTCAAAGAGAATTTCTGGTGTAGGACAGAGTTACTCCTGTTTACATACACGTCCCCTAAAACAGCACCTTCTAAAGACAAAGGGAAACTAATATTTCTGCCCAGAGAAAGTCACTGGCCTTGTATGCAAACTGAGTGGAGTTCTGGACAGCTGTAGCACCCTGGGGCTGCTTTGGGGTATAAATGCAAAGTTGCCTAAACTTAAGGCATATTCAAGAAAATGACATAGGTGAACTATGCGGGGAAAGAAAGCCACATGCTATTAAGCCCTCTCACCCGGAAATTAGCCAAGACCACGTTCTTGCTCCTACTGGTAATGACCTTAAGTCTCTTTCTTTATAAGGGTGCTGATCATCTGATTACATGGAACCTCCACCCTAGACCCATTCTGGATGTTGAATCTTCCAGGGTGGGCTCTAATAAGAACATTTTGAAGAAGTCTAAGGAGACACTTGTCTAACAGATCAGTTTGCATAACTATTGGCTTAGGACAGAATGTAAATAGATGTTGATTCTTTTTTGGTGAGGAAGACTGACCCTGAGCTAACATCTGTTGCTATCCTGCCAATCTTCCTCTTTTTGCTTGAGGAAGATTGTTGCTAACATCTGTGCCAGTCTTCCTCTATTTTGTATGTGGGACACTGCCACAACATGGCTTGATGAGCAGTGTGTAGGTCCGAGCTTGGGATCCAAACCAGTGAAACCTGGGCTGCCGAAGCAGAGCACATGAACTTAACCACCATACCATTGGGCTGGCTCCTTGGATGTTGATTCTTGATGTAGTCATTGTTTGCTTAGAAATTATGCCAGGTGTGACTGATTCCTCCCCCACACTTACCCGCATCCGCTTGATGCCTGCACGGGTAACCTGCTGGCAGTCATAGAGCTCAAGGCGCTCCAGGCCGCGGCAGTTCTCTAGGTGTTCCAGGGCCACATCAGTGATGAGGAGGCAGTTGTCCAATTCGAGTACCCGCAGCCTCTCATGGCCACAGGTGCTGTTGCTCAGGTGCAGAATCCCATCATCTGTGATGAGCTCACAGTGGGACAGACTCTGGAATGGAGAAAAGAGCAAGTGTTTGCAAGACTCTCTCATTCCAAGGCTCAAGGCCTAGGAAAAGCAGAGAAGCTGGCTTGGGTAGTGTCCCAGAGTAACCACTTAGCAACAGGAGGATCAAACACAAAGCCCTGGGGCCCTATGGCCAGGGATTTGCTGCAGCTGGGCAGTGGCTTCTCTCACCTTTCTGATTGTGTAAGGATGGAAATCAAAATTGCAGGGAATAGTCCAGTTCAAGTCGGTGACGCAAGAGGATCCTGAACTCACCTCCTCCCACGAAGACACCAAATCTACAGCTACGTATGGAACACTTCCTCTGAAGAAAACCTGAAAACTGGCTGAGCGACTCCTACACATCAGGCGAATGAGAGAAGACCCATGTTGAAGTGAACAGGAGAGGGTGGGACACAGTCTTGCCATAAACCCCACCTCCAGTGCAGTGACCCACAGTCAGGAGGGAACTCAAAACCTGAACTTCTCCCTGAGGAGCAAAGGGTTTGACCCCACATTGGGCACCTCCAACTTTAAGACCTGTACCTGAAGGACAACCCCCCAAAACGTCTAACTTTGAAAACCAATAGGCTCACATAGACAAGATCCACAAAACTATAGTGATAGGAGAAAAGGCTCTTAAAGAGCTCGTGTGCTCGGACTCACCCACACCAGGACCCAGTGCGGAAGCAGCCTATCTACAAGAGCCTGGGCTTGGTGTGGGAGAGGCTCATTTGCTTGTCTTTGAGGCAGGCATCTGATTTGACACATTTTGGGGGGCCTGGTGGGATGCTCTCTGGGGATAGATACTGATGAGTGCCATCTTTGCACACTCCCTCTGCCTCGATCCATCTGGAGAGCATCATCTTTTTTTTTTTTTTTACCCCCAGCCAGCACCATCTTCACATTCTCCTTCCACCTTGCTCTAGCCATTGGACACTTTTTCTTTTACTTTTTTTTAATAAACTTTAGGCTTTTTCTTTTCTCTTTCCTGGTAGGCACCATCTTCACACTCTCCTTCTGCTGTGCTTCAGAGAGCCAATGTCTCTTGGAGGGGAGCTTTTACACGTGTCTGGTGCCCCAGTTTTTGTGGCTGCCACCACAGGTCACTACTACTCCTGGCTCTGGTGGCCAGCAGGGCTTAATTTCTGGGTCCCACCAGACTGTAACCAATGGAGAAAGAGTTCTTAAATGGCTACCACCTCCAGGGAACAGCAAGAGACTGCAGACCCAGGAGCTCAGTCTTTCTGTGAAAGAGGCCTATTAGGCTGTCACCATAGTGGTAGCCTGAGGAGCACTCTTCTAATTAAAACACATCTTAAGGGCTAACTGTAATCCTTTTTAGACACCTTGGAGGGCGGATGCTGTACTTGTGCTCCCCCTCTGCCACACTCCAGAGCACCACTATCTCCCAGAGGGAAACATTTACACACATCTGGTACCCCAGTTTTTACTTCCTGTGCCTGTCTTTGCAGCTGCTGCCCAAGGGATGCCCCTTGATCACCTGGCTCTGATGGCCAGGAGGGTTTGCATTCCTGGATCCCATGGGACTTTAACAATTGGAGACAGAGTTCTTGGCAGGTTACCACCCCCAGGGCACTTTACAGACAGCAGACTAAAATATACCCCCAGTCTTTCTGTGAAAGAGGCTTATTTCCTTGGCTTAGAGCTTCGGCCTGAGGAGCAGGTTTCTGCTTTGGCACATATCTAGAGTAGTACAAATGTGCTCTCAGGGAATGCAGGCTGGTGCAT